GTATATGAACATATATATGAACACAGCTTGCAGAGTGGCCTTTGGTTATCACTTGAAGGGGCCGGCAGCTAAATGTAAGCTGGGTGAGGTTTCCACTATTCATTAGTGCAGCAACAATATTTTCCTGAATCTACTTATTTAGTAAAATCCGTATGGAAGCCTGTTTCTGACACTAAAAAACAAAAGAAAAAAAGGATGCATCAAATTTCGAGAAAATAACTCGAAATTTTGACTCATTAACTCGAAATTTTGAGAAAAGTAACTCAAAATTTCGAGTTAGCGCTGCCAATCAGTAATCTACGTGAATGACGTCATTTCCTTGTTACCCGGAAGCTGAAGCCCTCAGCTACAAATGCTACAGCTAAGCTACCAGTATTACAGCCAGTCATAAATGTACAAATTGCTGATTATTTTCAGCGTGGCTTCACAAATGATGAAATCCTTGTGTTACTAGCTGAATCACATGGCGTTACTATCACCAAACGTACTCTCGAAAGCGCCGATTTGTTGCGATCCAGTTTTTATCTATGTAGATTACTGATTGGCAGAGCTAACTCGAAATTTCGCGCAACTTTTCTCAAAATTTCGAGTTAATAAGTCGAAATTTTGAGAAAAATAACTCGAAATTTCAATTTATGGAAGCCCGTTTCTTTTTTTTAGTGGCAGAAACGGGCTTCCATAAATCAGAGATGCTGTTAGGCAGACTTGCTGTTAGAGATTGCCTGAGCTAGCCTTCATGCTAAGTAAGGTAAACTAAAAATGGCTAGTGGTAGTTTCCCACGCACCTTTTTAAATACTAATGATGTCAATTTACTCATACACAATGAAAAGAAAGCCAATAAACATATTTCCTAAAATACTTTTGAATGCAGTTTTTTCTGCGTAGCAGAGATATTCTTTTGTAGTCCACTTGCTTTGCATAGAAAATAGAGACATATATTTGTTGGTGAAGAAAAGCATGTAGGCGGACTCTCTTTAATGCCGGAAATATGATCCCAAATATGAAAAAATGAGTAGTTTATCGTTTCAATTTTGGATTTGCTTGGTAATCAAATCAAGAAAACAATCAAGAAAATACACACCCTGTGAAATTAGTCAAAGCACCCTGGCCAAGTGCCCTTTCCCTCAATGTTTTGTGTATTTCTACATGAAGTGTGTATTTCTGCCAAGGATTCAATCGCACTGTACCCTTGGCAGAAATACACCACCAAAGCATAATGATTTCACCATGTTTGACAGTAGCGATGGTTTACTTTTCCCTCCAATCATGGCAAACAGACTGATACCAAACAGCTCAATTTAAGTCTCATCTAACAACATCACATTCTCCCAAATCTCATCAGATCTTCTGGGTGTTCACTGGTAACCTTAAGAGGGGCCTGAACAATGGCTTTCTTGAGCCTGGGTACTTTATAGGCACCGCAAGAATTTATACTATATTAGTTACCAACGGTTTTATTAAATCACACACTCAGTGTGATTTGAGATATTTAAGGAAATCCTGCTATGCAGTTCTGGGGTCATTCCAAACTGTTCAAACTGCCAAAAGTTGTAATTTTCTTACCAAACTACTTTCTGGTGTTTTTATAGTCCATTCGAGCCTTGTGGAAATAGGCAGTCTTGTTCCTCACATCCTTTAATAGATCTTTGGACTTTTTTTATGGAGGTCAAGTTAAAGATGTATATAGGAGTGCTGGTATACTACTCAACAAAGTGGTGCAATTAACTGTGAATGCTGCCTTGATAATTGTTAATAATTAAGTTGAGACTCGTTAAAACTCATTTCCCTTATTCCTTTGTGATTTTGTTGATACATTATATTTAGCTATAAAATGAAACTGCTCATTTCTCTGTAAGGGGGTGTAATTATAAATTAATCACAGTGTCAAATGCTCATTTCCTCCCACTGACCACATTACACCAGACCAAACTGTGATTATTGACTTTCATGAACATAAACTGTAGATTGTGTATGTTGGACAGAATGCACTTAAATTTCCATTAATGTGATGTGTCAGGATTGCTTCTTCAGAGGAGTTAAATGCTGAAGCAGCATAAGCGACGACAAAAGTGACAGCATTTCTTCAAAACAGCCACACAAAAGTGATGTACACTAAAGTGAGGAAACGCAGGCAACTTCCTGGGTATGAGTTGGCAAGGTGAATGAGGCCAATGTGACGTCTGCAGACAAATACAAAACTGCTGAGATGCTGTGTCACAATATGACAGGCTGCACTCTGCCAGCAAAGTTAAACCTCCCCCGCTATATTCTGAATATAAACAGTTTGAAAAACTGCAAATTAAAAAAAAAAAAAAAAAAAAAAAAAAGGTAACAGTGGAAGGCAGAGATGAGTCCTTTTATGATGGAGGCATCTCTATATGACATGCGACCACCAGTGTGCACCATGAATAAATCATCCCGAACCGGGCGGCGAGAGTAAACAGTTGTGTATCTTCACCTCAAATGCCTAGAGAGGCCTGTCAGACACAGCAGTTAACAAAGCCTACCTCCTAATCATCATGTGAACCATGTTTCAGCAGATCCAAGTCCACAGCTGACACCATTACCCCACTCCCATCTTCTCCTCTCACTTTACAACACAAGAACTCACTCAGTATTTCTCCAGAGTCAACTTAAAGTGAAGTTAAAGCAAGATGGTAGCATTGCTGTTAATCTTTCCCCAGAGTCTCTGCTTCACTCAGTTGTATTCAAAGACCGCCTGCATTGTCATTGTAAATTAGGAAACCGGGGCTTTGGGATTAGCTGCCAATTTGCACCCACTGTGGAATGAATCTCCTCAAGACCTCCGTGATTTACCCATTAACACGGCTGCACGCATGACCCGGCTCTTATCGAGTGCATCGCTGGAACAAAGTATGGTTTAAAACAAAATCAGCATGCTTCATCCTGCCATAAAAAAAACTCTTTAAAAACCACTTTTTTTTTCTAGAATATAGTTTTATTTATAATTTATAATTGGCAGATACAAAAAACTCTTCAACTGTATCCAAAATGTGCAATAAATCACTGTTGATTTTTTTCCCAAAAGAAAAATACAAAAAGACCATCTATTTTGGAAAGTTGACAACCAATGTAAACTGGAGTGAACTGGTAATTCTACAGAGGGTTTACTAATCGCTACTAATTCTCCTTTGACTACAAATCTGCTTTGCTCTCCCAAGATGAAAACCAAAGTCACTGTGTGTACATACATCTACATTGGTGACATTCTATCCCCGCCCCGCCCACACTGTTAAATACAAGAAAGGCAATCATATCTATAAGCAGCACAAATGTGTATAACACATTAAAAGAAAAAAATAATAATAATAACAAAGAGTTTTCAAATTGTACCAAGATATTCACGTGAGAGAGGGTAAATAAAAGGGAGGGGCATGTCCAAACGTAATGTTGTAAACAATTACCTTCACTCACCGAGATGCACAAAACAAAACAAAACAAACAAAAACTCGAAGCTTGTTTAGTGCTTAACAGCTGTTCTCACTACAAAAAGCGTCAGCAGTCTGAACAAGCATCAACCTCTGGAATCAAACTTTGAAGGTAATAATGCTTAATAATAAACTAGTATTTCGAGAAATCACAGCAGCATACCGTATGAAACTGGCTCCTGCGTGTCAAAATTTGATAACAGATTAAACATTTTAATGGCAATACATTTAAAAGAACATAGTATTATGGAAAAAAAAAAAGACTAACATTTTCTTTTTCACATTTCAACTGAAACACATACAAACACACTGAAAACATGATTAATATCAACATTCATGCTGTGATCCCATTCCTTGACAGCCAATGAGCATTTGCAGAGGCTTTGAAATGATGCTGGTGAACTACCCTTTTTATCCCACAGATATGACAACAAAAACTATTTTTAATCTGACAGTTATATGAACACATTGGGACAAATGTGACTATTTAACCATTAAAATTAAAAGAAGAAAAAAAAAACCAAACACACACACACACACGCACACACACCATCTGAAGGAAAACTGTAGGCAGGAGAGGATCCAAGTATAAAAAATGTTCAAGTGCAAATAATGTGTCAATGTAGTTTTTATGCTTCCCATGCTTTCTGAAAATGGTCTGCAGGCAGATAAAAATGGATACCTCAAACAAGCGCACATTCCCTCTATACAACCACATCCCCCAGATGGCAAATGTCACAAAACAAAATAACCACAAAAAAAAAAAAAAGAAGAAAAATCAAGAATTCAAAAAGAAAGAAAAACACATTTCTTGTACAAAGAATATCCAGCCAATGCTTGTGACAGAAACATCTCTCGACACAGCCGAACGCACGACCCAAATCCTTCATTCCTATACAACTCAAAAGCTTTAAAAGGTTACGTTTTTAAACATGCAACACCATTCAAAGTTCCTATCTAATTTCTGCTGTGCTAGATTCATAGTAACTTCCGCAGACACCACCGTTTCCAGCTAACAATCTAGAACTATGCGCTAACGACCTACCAACGTTGTTCCAAATACTTTTAAGGACACTGATGTCAAAAAAATTATAATAATAATATAAAGAAATGCTCATTCATAATGTGAAAGCACAATTCCCTGTCAAGTATCCATATAAAGCACTTGCGTAGCATACTGTGTGCTCTTCCCTTTACTCTGGCAGAAACAGCCCAGTAGAGAGATAATCCGTGGGGTAGTGCAGTTCTGTGGAGACTGAGAACAATGTGACTGAGCAATGACAAAAACTGTACGCCTGTTTACATGTCCTGAAAACCCATGTAACACTAATGACAACATGCAGCTGTGACTGAACTTTTGTCATATGCTGAAACACTGGCATCACTCCGAGATGGCGAGGAGGACTCAACTCTGGCTTTCCCAAATCCGCTCACCTAAGCATCCTCAGTTTTAGGATTCTTTTGATCTGTGTCCAGCTCATTGCAGGCATTAAGAGACTAAGAAACAGCCATCCCTACATTCAGATTGTCAATTGACTAGAGACCTGTTGTTTTTTTTTTGTTTGTTTGTTTATTTGCACCCCCCCAGTCATAAGTTAATTGAGGGCAATTTTGTCTATATATAAACTGCCCAAGGTAAATGCAACTGCGCATTTAACAGCCTTTTACTCAGTGTCGCGCTTTAATAACAGCCAAAAATCCCCCCCCCCTTTTACTGTGACATCTTCTCTCAATTAGTGTAGTTCTACATTGCCTTTAATTGACAGTCTTAAAGCCTTTATAACATGCAGATAAAAGCATTACACATAGTGACAAACTTGTTAGGCCTGAGCTGCGGTGCAGTTTTTGTAACATTCCCAAAGCAGATTTTTTTTTCACTTTTAGCATATTTTAAAAAGGTTTATACATAAACTTTATGCTGTTACCACAAACAGCACAACATTAAAATCCAGCATTATCAGTACCTTTAGGCTTGCACAATGTATAATGGCTGCATGCAGCCATATAATTTAAAGCTACGTCTCTCAATGATCTGTTTGAAGGCTCTGGCAGGCTGGCAGATTGTGGACATCTTTTGCTATACAGTTGTAAATCCTGGATACTAAAGGTAAACCTTTCATCAACAGATAATCATGTTTATTAAAGCCTATGTGTTTAACAGTACGGCTGAAAATAAGCCGTGTGACAAGCTCCAAAAGTAAAGTCGGTCCCATATTAAGACAGAAGCATTTAAGTATTGGTTGTATAACCGTTGCCACGTGCCAATAAAGGGTCACGGAGAAACTTAATCCTCTGAATGAGGAGTTAGGTTTATAATCTTTCTTTTTGCAAATTTACAATCAGAATAATAGGTCAGTCGTTGCAAATATGATGATGCCCTATCTTTCTATTTGACTAACAGCACAGTACAGATGCATAATGTTCTCATTTGCAGTCTGAGTGTTGTAAGTGAAGGAAAAAAAAAAAAAAACAGCAAAAGATGAGCCAAATTGGTCAGTCTGCAGAGACCTAAAAAAAAAAATACCGCTCCATGTTGGAATCATCCTTCATATCTACTACAGATTGAATTTAACAAGTGATAGAATTTTAAAGGAATATTCTTTTCCCTACTCTGCAGTCTCAACGCCGATATAATTTCTTTTAAAAAACTAACAAAAAACTGTTACACTTGCACAGCTGGATTATTGTTAATGTATCCAACATCAGCTTCTGCACTTGATGCATTCGGATAAGATTACTTGGCTGTATATCTCTGCTGTGTTTTTGCGATAGATTATGTGCTGGCCTACATTTCTGGAAGTAGAGCCTCCTGCAAAAAACCCCAGAATAGTGGAATGAAGGGCCGAACAGTGACAGGGTCACACGGACACAAATCAAGAGCCACCAGAACCAATCATCTCAAAACTGTAGTTGTCTGTAAACCCCTTTTGTAAATCTCTTAACTGAACACAAAAGTGCAAATTACCATCCGTATCCTCAGTAGTGCTTCTCCTGCAGATAATCTTTCATCTTGTTAGGTAAGGGCAGTTTTTGGATAAGGTCTATTCTTGTGTATTGCCTAATGACAAAGCGGCAAAGGTACTGCAGGGAGCGCACTTGCATAAACCGAGATACTGGGTTGGTTAGTCTGACGGGGTAGGTTGCAGATCCTGGTAAGCGAGATCTGGAATAACAAAAAGCCCCATTCTCTGAGTCTTTGATAGAGTGTTCGATTAAGTCAACAATTGATGTGTGTCCCTCCACGTCGGGCTGCTCGTAGAAGCTGAAGCGTCCGTTGGAGTGTTCGATGCGGGTGTGGAGGGTTTTGCTCTGCGATCTGAAACTCAAGCTGAGCAGGTATCTGTCATCAGAGCTGTCTCTGACCAGAAATGATCCATCGGCCAGGTTGACCAGCTTTTCCTCTGCCTCCCAGCGTGTGATGGGACCCCAGTACCAGCCCTGCCTAGCAAGCTTCTTCAGCTCCTCCGTCAGGCTGGTCACAACCATGGGCCCGCTGCTCTGGACTGAGTCGTATACCCGACTAACCCCAGGAGCCGAATTTGGGTCAAAGTTGAGGTGGTGTCTTACCCTCTCAGCTACCTGGCTGTCTGCAGAGCTAAAGCCCGAAAATGTCCTTGGAATATGTCCATTACTAGTCATGGGTGGCAGGAGTGGAGAAAGGGGAGGTGGCATCTCCACTCTTGAGTTTTGGAGCATCATGCCAGCAGAACCAATAAGAATACTATTGACTGAGGTCTCCATGAATATATCTGGAGGCATCCCATTCACCAGTTCATGCTCCTCCTGTCCCTGCTCTGTGTGGAGGGACCCATTGTCTGCCTCTGTCACCACCTCCATAGGAGAGGAACCTTCCAGGCAGAAAGAGTGAGACCCTTCGGGATACATTCCCTCATCTAAAGGCATTGTGTACTGGATGTAGTCCTGGGGCGTCAACCCCAGCACCACAGGCACATCATTTTCATCAATATTTAGATGCAGCTCACCATTTTGCGGTTGCTGGAGATTCTTTAAGGACTCTGCTTGGTCCTGAAGGAGCCCTTCCATCTGGAAATCATGAAATTCTTTCCGGACACCGTTTAAGTTGGGACTTGGGTTAGGAGAGTGAACCATGGCTTTAACTTTTACCTCCATTTTGATGCACGCATCATCAGAGTTGACAGACCGCAGAGGCCACGGAGAAGGGCTATAATGGTGACTCCGGAGGGATGCAGATCTAAGGGGTCTCTGAGCTTTTACCTCATTGAAGCTGATCGGGACAGAATTAGATGAGAAGGTGTCTTCATCGTCCACTGAGCCTATGGTCGAGGCGCCGCCTTTCACTTTCGCCTTCTGTTTGGTAGACAGCCTTCTCTTTAGCGATCCCATCAGAGTCTCACTCTTTGAGCGGCCCTTGTTCTGTCCCCCTTTTTCATCTTCGCTAGCAATATCACAAGCAGAAAGCTCTTTGGTGTAGCAGCCCCCAAAAAGTGACTCATCCTTAGAAAACTCTGCAGTCACCGAGGGCTGCTGGAGCATGACAAAGTCACCCTCCTCTTTGCCCTTTATGCTGAGTGACTTGCGGATGGTCTTAAGGCTTATCTTCTTCATTCTGACAGGCCCTCCAAAATGAGGGCATGAGATGGCTCTCCTGGTATCCTGATGAAAGTACTATCCACCGTGTCCTCCCATCAGGCCACATGAAACAAGTCATGCACACAATGGAGCCATTAAACCCTGTAGTGAGAGAAAAAACATGCAAGATATTCTTTGTTTGACTTTTAAAGCACACTCTGAGATTGTTATTTATTATGTTCATAATATTGACTTAAGCCCTTGAACCACATAAAGAAAAATAAAGCACTGAAGAAGGTTATTGTGGCCCTTAAACAGTCTCCCACTCTCTCTTTTAAGTTGTACATAACCAAAAAACAAAAACAAACAAACAAGCACACACACAAACAATATCATCAGTTTTAATATCTAATTCACTAAATATTTCAAATTTAAGATCCTCAAACACGAACAGATGTCTGATAACCAAAAACAGCAGCAACCTGATTACTCACCATGATGAGCAGGAAAATGGTGACTCAGTTGGCTGGGTCAAGTTCCACTTCCACCACCTTTCATTGGATGCTACCAAAAACAACACAAAGCCAGCTCATTTGAAATGTTCACGTCTGATTAACATGTAAATTTACCAGAGGAAAACGTGCATCGTCAATCACGCACATTAACATTTAAAGTGGTTTCTAATAACCAGACCAAGCTCAGCTACATTTGTCCTTACCTGAAAAGGCCTGCGGACACAAAAGCATGGATGTAGCTTAGCTCCGGTTGTTAGCCTTTCACTTTAACGCCAATATTGCAACACCGATGGTTACAATGATTGCCATTGCAACTGAAATAGCAACAACAACAAACAAAGCCAACCGAGATCATATCCGATGCCAATGTGAGAGCTGCTGTGTTGCTCAGATGCTATAATAAAAATTTTGCTAACGACCAGTGTTAGCATGCTTACAATAAAAGTGCATTTGTAAATACCTGTAACCACTTATTGTAAACACGCACGATATAGCCTCTTACCTGATCACTTCTGCTTGTACTGATGGCCAAGACAGCACGAAGGTTTACGCATTCGCCTTGCACAACACCTTCATTTAAGCTTCGCTCCTTGACGATTGTTGGCTAATGTTAGCTTGACTTATACAGGCTTAGTACCTGAGCCAGCTAGCTTTGTTAGCGCTTTCTGTCGAAAACATTACCATCACCTTCCCTTCAGTCGGCTCCCACGCAAAACAGAAAGCGCAAAGCGATTATATGGCAGGACCCTGTGCTACTCTAAACATATAGCTTTAAATTGCCGAGCAGAATTAAACAATAAGTTGACATCTTCAAGCCTAGGTTGGCTAACACTTTCTAGCGTTCGGCCTCTTCCTTTCTTCCTTTGTTGCCTGTTGAATTGTGGGAGCAGAGTCAGAGGACTCAGATGCAGCGAATCAGACACACAGCAGCTCCAGCACAACCACACACAGCCCTGCTACTCCGACATCATGTGCACATCAAATCAAGGAGGAAAAAATTTATTAGCATGAAAATATATTTTTTTTCTGAGATTTATTTATTTATTTATTTATTTATACCCTTAAATGTGAATCTGGGAAAACATTTAATTCTAACTGCTTTAATGCAAGGAGTTGTTAATGCTTAATACTTTGGGGTTAGATGCAAAAATAGAAGATGTAAAGATGTCTGAAAGGGTACCTGTAGGCTAGAATTCAACACACTTTCAATTTAGCTCAAGTAAACGTATTTAAGATGCATCCTCATTTCTGTGCTGCATCAGAAGTGGAAATGTTACACCACAGGAAAAACTGAAAAAAGGACTGCTGAAAAAGCTACTGGAAAAGAGAAAGTGCTTAAACTTGGGTGGCGGGGGAAGTTGTTGCTTGCAAAACTTGCCCATTCAGTTCAGTCATGATTGCAGACATGAGCCAGCTTTCTGGGCCGTGTGAAGTTATTAGCGATGCAGTCTCTGGGGTGATTTTGCATTTTAACAAATGACTAAAAGATTATTTTTCATAAGGTGCAACCACCCTCTCGCAGACAGTGGTTTTTAAAATGCATGATCCAAGCTGTTCGGACTTTTCATAATAGAACCGCAGCACGGGAAGATTTAGTGTGACAGAAGTTGCATCTATAATGAAGGGCTGAAGAGTTTTGGAAGTGGAGGGGTGGGGGTAACTGTCCTTAATCACTAATATGTAGTCCAGTCATTAACCCATAGTGTCATGTCCTGATTGTTTATTGTAGAGAAATGTAGAGAAATGTAAAACTTTAAGGCATTGTTCTCAGCTTTGTTTCTATTTGTTTTTTCTTCTCAAATTTCTGTAAACAGGAAACAGTGTGTGAATATTCATAGCTGCTAATTAATGTAAGTTGGCCACATTCCTGCTTATTCGCATGTGATTTACTTCATATGGCATGTAAAGTCCCCAGTTCAGCAATCAAGTATCAACTTCCCACTGCAGATATCACATAACAGCAGAGCTACAAACCTGTTTTTGTTCCCTAATGCTGGCTGTGCTTGGCCTCTTTGCAGAAAGGTCTTTCTAATTTGTATTCGCACGACATCAAGTTGGCTCTCAAAGTACTTCAAGTACTTGATACAGCAACTAAAACTTGAACTCTGAAATGATACATTGGTTGCCTAATTAGTGTCAGTATTGTTTTAAAGTAGATTGTGTTTACTACTGCCAGGCTAATTTGGTCCATATACTGAACATTACATTGTTTTTTTCCACACTGTCAAGTGTATGGCAGTCCTTCCCCAACCTGCTTAGGGCAGCTGCGTGCAGACAGGCTCTATGCAAAGACTCTAATTACCGGGCCCTATTAGGGTTGATCAGGCTGCCTTCGCTTGATGTGTTGGCACGGGAGTGGAGGGCTGGTGGGGAGAGGCTAGAGAGGAGGGGTGGGAGCTCTTTAGATATAACACCAAGGACACTGGGAAGCAAGGATGCGATGTTTCTACAAGCTAAATTAGACCTGACAAACAAACTGTTGTGTGGTTGGTATTTGTTGGCAGGCTGTAAAAACAAGTAAATGCTTCACTGTGGGAATAAGTCTGTTTTGTCATGACAGCACAAACAGATCAAATAGTTGCTAATAGCAGGCTGTTTAGAATTTACAGAAAAGATATCTTGCTCTAATGGGAGCTGAGTATCAGCACTGTGTTATCAAGCGCCACACGGCACAACATATGACCGTCTCTCGCTCCCTCCCTCCCTCTCTCTGTCTCCTTCTCTTTTTCAGATCAATATTTCCCAAATAATTTGAATTTATGTATAAGCACGATTCAAAACACCGAATCGCAAGTCAGGATGGAAGACTGTACGCGTGGAGCAGGCTGCGCTGTTTTAATGAGACATCCCTACACGAGGGGAGGCTCCCCGCATTTCATCTTAATTTCTAATGAACACTGTATCAGCCATAAATTATTTGCAAAATGTGGCTACGCTTGCCTCAGTTTGACTGAGGCCTCCGACTTGACTTCATTGCCATCGGGGGATCGTAGGGGGGGCTCCCCTCGGTGCCCACCTTCATATCCTCAACACTTGCAGCAGAGCGGAAGACGGGTACAGCAGGCATGTCAGATTGTGACAGGGCTTGTGGGACCACTTGGGTTTTGTTTCAGGAGTGACTATAGAATAAGACAGGAAGTGTTTACCTCGAGTAGGATCTGAATATTTTAGGTTAAGATGATGGCGTAGCGCTGTGATCTCATGGGTTTTCTTAATCACATTCATTTTACCTTTTTCCCTCCTCAGATTTTTAAGGTCTTCTGAGATGTGCATTGATTGTTGTTACATGGACTGTGACTGCATACAAGGTAATGACTAAGTTATATAGCTGAGTCATAGAGCTCAATCACAACAGCAGCCTGGTTAAAACAATGAATAAATTGTCCATGCTTGCTCATCTTCTTCTTTGGGCCCGTTATGCCGTCACCCTTGATTTCACATGGGTAATTCTGCTAGTAGCTCATTTTATTTTGTTGCCATATGGGCTGCTGAATTTTGGACAATTACAATAATGGTTTGGTAATTAGCTGAGCTGACCTGGTTTTACGCATGAAAAGCTGTAACAGCAACACCTAGCAAGCTCTTGTGAAACATGTGGACATTTTTGTGGATTTTAATTCAACGTATTATTAGACAGAGAGCAGAGGTTAGAGAAGATGATGTCTCCATTTTTTTTTTACTATTTTTCAGCTTTTGAATATTTTTGCTAAAGTGATCTTTTTCTTTCTTTCTTTTTTTTTAACTTACAAAAAAAACTGTTGATTTTGGGGGGGGGGGGGGGTGGGGGTTGCATAGCATCCAGGGGCCATACAAATGAGGTGTAGAAAAGAGAGCAGGAAATTAACATGCAGTCATTGCAATCAAACTGGGGAGCTACCAAATGGCCAAATGTGCCAGTGTGCCTTTACCAGCTACTGAGTCACCTCTATGGACTGTTTGAGCCCTGGCCTAAATAGTTAGCTCCACAACCATGAAAAACACATTAAAGGTGGATCTAAATGGTGTTTGTGATAATTACCCCCCTTCCCTCCCATTTGGCATGATTGCAAAGAGTTAAAAAAAAAAAAAGGTTCTTGGTGTCATACCAGTATGTTATAATGGCATTTTATTTTATTATCTATTTCTTCTAAAACAGGAAGAAATATTTTTAGTTTTTGATTGCAGCTTCCAGATATTCATAAACTGTTAATCTTGCTTCTGTTAACCACAGTGTAAAAAACAACTTCTCCTTTCTAATGATAAGAAGAAAAAGAAAGAAGAAGAAATGTATTTGTCTGCATTTCTCAAAACAACCCGAGGTCACCTTCAAACACTAAACTAGCAGCAAGCATAATGGAAAACATGACTAAATATTATAGTTGACATGCAATTTTGAACTGTGATTTAGCCTGTGTAATAGAGTGTAGCTGATGGAGGTGGTGTAGTAGTAGTTAGTGTAAAGTATGCAAATGGGTTTAAGGATGAAGGAGATCTGAGAGATAAAGGGGAGGGGTGGGGGCCCGTGAAAGTAAAGAGCAAATACTTGTGTTGTATGCAGTAAAACAAAAAACAGAGCAAATGAGGTGAAGCCGAATGAGGAGAGGTGTGATATGATCGATGGACCTGGCGCTGATAATGATCCTTGCTACTGAATTCTGTGCCATTTCAAGCTGATTAAAAAGTTTGTTGGGGAGGCCAGCACGAATGACAGTAATCCAAGCAAGTGGTGACCAGGGTGAGAGCAAGAACTTGCATGTTGCATTGAGGAAGAAAAGAATGTAGTGTTGAAATAGTACAGTAGAAGGCTGAACATGAGACATTATTGATATGAGTGGAAAACAAGAGAGTATTACCCAAAATCACAGTTTTTATGACTTTTTTCTCCCCCATGGAAAAAGCAAATGGGCATATTTCTGGAAGATGCGTTCTTTCTGCCAATGAGGATGATGTCACTTTTATTGGCATTTAATTTGACATCATTATTTATCATGCTGGTACTGATGGCCTGGAGGCAAGTGGAAGTAATAGTAGGAAGAGAGGTGCTAGATTTTGTAGGGATGTACAGTTGTGTGTCGGTTCCACCAAAATGAAGCCTTATTAGCGTTTACACCATTTTTTATTTATGATTTGCCCTTTTTCATACTTTAATGAGAAAGTTAGTTAAACCAAATCAGCACTGTAGTTTGAGTTTGGGAGAATGTTTGTTTTTTTCATTTAATAAATCAAAGGAAAGATCCAAGGAGAATATCTGTAATGTGGCAGATCTTGCTTTTATAGTAAGATTCAACCATGCTTATGCTATAAATCTCTATGGGACTTTTAGTCTCTGCAAGTTATCTTAAAAATGGAATAGACATCAACAGTTTAGTGCTCATTACTTTTATTTGTGCTGCCCAGTACGGACTGGCACAAATAAATGACTCATGATTGGCTTTAGAATCCAAACGCTGAGATGTTTTGAGAGTAAATCTAGCTTCAAAGTATTTAAATTGGCATGCTTTCCACTCAGAGAACGGGCTTACATTCGTAAACTGCCCGAGGTGGTTTCTGGCATATGAGTAATTTAGCCTGATGTGAAATAGCTGACAGATAACAAGTAGCTCTTTCTGATTTACAATGTTAAAAATCCTTAAATTGACCCTCACCCTGTCGAGTGGGGTCCATGCAGATGCATTTTTGTCGTATTTCACAGGTGGGTTTTTGTCTATCATTCTAATTTGTTTTCACTTTTTCAGCCAATTTATTCCTAGTGATGTTACATGATTGTTTTTCATTTCTGCTTTGATTAGTGCTTTTTAAAAACAGAAATATTTGGGGGTCCCAGGAGACCTTTCTTAGTTGTCATAAATGGAACTATTTATTTAGTTTATTTATTTAGTTA